GCTCTGTCTCAGGCTTTGTGTAGCAGGAGCTCTGAGCTGCCTGGAGCAGGAATTTGTGCTGCAAGGAGCCCAGCAGAGCAGGATCCAGCAGTGACTCCTGACTGAGCTTCCCAACCTTTCCTGGGAGCGCAGCCCCCTCTGCTCCATTTGGGCTCATCTGGCACACGCAGCTTGGCTCTTCCACAGCTGCAGAATGAGAAACTGAAATTCCTGTGCTCCCTCCTCTCCCTGAAGGCAGGACCTGCAGGTTGCAGTGGAGTGCCCCGAGTTTCCTGGCTGGCGTCAAAAATTGCAAAAATTATGAACTCTCCTCACTCATTTGAAGCGGTCGCTGCTGCCATATTTCCATATGGCAATAAATAAATATTTCCATACTTATTTATTGCCATAAAATCAGAGTTTGGAATGAAGTTCACACATTCCTAATGCCCAGAATAATAAAAGGATAAAAAGAGTTAAGGCTGTGGAATAGCTGCTGTGAAATATTCTGATCCCTGCAGAGTCCTTCAAGGAAAGCCAAGGGAAATCCAAACCAGCAGCAACAGCTAAGAGATATTTCTACTCTACAGAATTTACACTGTTAAATACATCTGTGGATGGTGAAAAGGAAAAAATACCGACTTTTTTATTTATAACCACTTCTGGTGTAAATAGCATCCCACAGGCAGAGCCAGTATATTGGGAATTGTGGGGGAGTGCAGTGTTTGCTGCACAAGTTCCCAGGAACCCAAACAAGAATGAGCAGCAGTGAGGAAATGAGAGCTCCTGTGCCAAAGGCAGGCAGGGAATAACCAGAGAGATCACAGGAAACACTGCAGAGAGGTTTAAATACGATCACAGGAAACACTGCAGAGAGGTTTAAATACAATCACAGGAAACACTGCAGAGAGGTTTAAATATGGGCAGGGCAGAAATCTGCCACCAGCACCCAGGAAAAGCCAAGAATGAATCCAGTGGAACAGATACTCCAGCCCAGAGTGGAGGATCAGCAAATTCTGAGAGTTTGCAAACAAATCCTTTGCGGCTGTTGGAGTTCCATCCCAAATATCCCATCCAATGGCCTGCACAAAGCCCTTCAAAATGACCCTGTCAAAGGAGAAGGTTGGGAAGATCAAGGTAGGAATTTGCTGCTTTGCCTGTGGAAAACTCTGGGAGAGCATTTCTGTGATCCCAGAAAGGTTTAATCATTTATTTGAAGTTTCCCAGTGCCACGTTGCTTAGGAAAAATTTGCAGTATAATTAAGGAGGAATAAAATATCTCACAGAGTTGCACAATATCCCAGTGCTACAATTGCTTAAAAGCCATCACTAGTGTCAAGAACTGAAAATACAGCAGCATTCTCATTTCATTTTAAATTTCAGTGACTTTCATCTAGAATTTAATTTTTTTCTTTGTAAAACCAGAGAGCCCTTTGCTGTAAAAGCTCTGTGAAGACTCTGTAATGTCATTGGAAGATCAAAGACTTTGTTTTTAGTTAAAAAGGTGATCTGTGTGGAAAGCAGTCACAGCTTTTACTACAGTAACATTTATTATTTACTGATAATGTTGACAGTAAATAGAAGTAGCAAATAATAATTTTTGTGTTGTGAATCAAACTGAAGGTGAAATAATGCACTAGCTGAAACAAAATAAATATGTACATGTTATATCCACTCAAATTAAAGAAAGTTAACCAACTCTTGGATTTCTAGGATGGAATATATGCTACAGACAAGACAAAGGTAGAGATTGATCAGTAATATAAGAGCTGGATTATATGGATTAGGAGGATAATTGGATTTTAAATGTCACTAAACTAATTCTGGGTTATTGAACTGGACATTCAGATACTCTGGATTATGGTGAAAATATATCAGTTCCTATACATCCATCTACAGCCATCTGAGCCTGTCAAATGAATCCTCCCCAGCTGAAAAGATGAGAAATGCCATCATATTTAAATGACTTCACAGCACCAGAAATAACAACACAAAGATCAGCAAACCTACATTGGCCAAGAAGAGCAGAAACTCAGAGAAAGTTTCCTGCCAGTCCTCCTCCTCTCTTTTCAACTTGATCTGGACAAAAACCATTTGGTGACATCAATTTGCTCTCCTGGTTCCTGTTAGTTTTATTGTGTAAATAAAGAAAAATTCTTTTTCTAAGGTATAAATCACATAATTTTTATGTTTTATCCCTAATCACTCAAAAGGAAAAATACAATTATAGAAAGTCATGGTTTTAGCCACTTTTCTTTCTTTCATTATTTACCAGGTTTGGGTTTGTCTTCTCCATTGCGCAATAATTTCCTTCTCTCATCTCTTTGTTCCAGAACTCAGAACAGCTTGAATTTGACAGATCAGATTTGGTGAGTGTTAACAAGCTAAAGTCAGCAAAACATTTTTCCGAATAGTTTCTTACAACTGTAGCATTGTTGTATGGGTTTGGATGATTCTGGCAGCCACTGGAGAAATTAATTTGCAGCAATTCCTAATATTTAAAAATTTTCTAATACGGGGTTTTGGTGGAGTTTCCAATGCTGCAATTGATTTAAGATAATCAGACACTGTGGTTTTACTGTGCTGTGAGGATCCTTCCTCATTTCCTTCATAAAGGCCATTTCATTTTTCTTCTCTCCACAGTGTGAAGCCATAAAAGAGAAGAATCCTCATCCTCTCCTGCCTTCAGCTTCACCCCGTGTGGACATTACATTTATTTGTGTGCTGTGTGTCCTGGGGCACACCAAAGGCTCCAGTTCTCCAGTATTTTATCCCTAATGGTGGCCAATAATTGGTGCCAAGGAAATAAATAAAGGGGAAAAACCCAATAACAGGGTAAGCACCCGTTATATTCTCTTAGTTCACAGCCAGATTTACTGAGCCTCTGAGCCTTTCCACTTGTGCCACTTTATTTCCTGGGTATTTTGCAAAATATTCCTGACAATGCTTGGCCACGGTGAAAAATGTTATCTTTAAATAGAAACCTGGATTGGATGCTTTGTGCACTCCCACCTGGGTGTCAGGAAGATTTACCTGATCACCACAGGGCCTGGTTCCTTTTGTCACTGCTCACCCTGGCAGAATGCAATTTTATTAAAACACTGATAACAGCGTTTTATCACCCTAGCGAAAAGAGAAATATTTCTGAAGGGCAAGGTGAATTCATAAGAAAAAGCATTCCCTTATCATAAGTAAAAGAAATGTACCAGTTCATGTAAATACATGTTTGATTTATCAAAGATCTTTGCCTTCTACAAATCCCCAGTGTACAACTGGAGTGACCCACCTGGTTTGATGTACAAGAAAATCTATTCCAGTGAATAATCTGAGACCCTGGAGAAGGCAAAGTATCAAAGTTTCCAAATCCTGAGTGCTAACAGGATGTTTGTGCTCTAATTTTTGTCTGGGTGTGTTTCTTGTAGAGTCCAGGAGAAGCCCAAGATGTCTTTGCCAATCTGCTGATTAAATAAGATCGTTAATATGTGTTAAATTTGGAGTCATCACTACTGTGTGAAAAGTTAATCTGTTTTCAAAGTTCAGGCAAGTCAGTTCACAAAATTATGCCTCCAGATAATTTATTTCTGGTTATTCACGGCTTCCTTTGGAAAGCAGATGTGCCATGCCAGGATTATTTGATATTGCAGCCAGCCGAGAGCATGTCCTCCAAAACCTAAGGAATATTTTTTTCCAGAGTAGACAAGAGCAGTTTAATTTTTTTTCATTAAACTAACAGTTCAGAATCAGTTAGGAATTTGAAACAGAATTCCCTGGTGTTCCTATCACTGGAACAAACAGGAACAGACTTCAGAGTGGATAATGACTTTGGCTCTGGCAGATAAATCCTGACAAAACTCCCTGCCCATCCCACGGGGGAGTTTCACACACAAATGCAAATAGCAAACCGTGCAAACCCTGAAGGTGATTTATTGCTTATTTCCATGACAATGACACCTCCTCTCCTTGCTCTGGGGGTTGATGGTGGAGATTGTGGGATCCTTACCTGGTGTCACTTGCCAGGGAGGTTCCTACCGAGCCAACAAGGCACCATCAGATTTTCTGCATTTTAGCTAAAAAGTGTGGCCTGGAAACCTGCTAAAAATCAAACCCAGAGAACCCTCCAGAAGTCAGAACTCTGCAGGGCACAGACTTGGAGAGGGAACTCCAAGGGGATTCAGGGTGCCTTTAACTTGGCTGTGATCCTGTATGAGTGCTGATTCCCATTGGGGTGGAACAGGGAGTTACACATTAAAAAGATTTGTTTTACACTGCACAGATCCAGAAAATTTCTCTGGCCTAATTACCCCTGTGATTTGTTTCGTGTGATTTCCCAGTTCTCTTAACTTGCTCCTGAGAAGTACCTGGTGTGTCAATGTTTAACCTTTTCCAGGCAGAATGAAGGTTACTTCAGCCAGAGGAAACATTCAGAAGGTTGATTTCTTTTATTTCCTTTTTTATTTCCTTAAGCTTCAGTAGGTGACTGAACATCTGAACAGCTTTTTCTTGGAGCTTCTTTTTTTTTTCTTCGTTAGAAAAGTACTTTTCAAGGACTCACAGCAAGTTGAAAATTACACAAAATATCTCTAAACTCAATTCATTTCACATCTCTATGAAGGTAGAAAACATAGATATGTCCAAAAACCTTCCTGTGTACAGAAAAAAAAACGTGGGGAAAACCTTGCTTGATATTAAAGTTGCTTTCCAATAACCTCATTTGTCAAGTTTTAAATAACTTCTGAGGCTTTTGAGATTAAAAGCCTCAGAACACACTGGAAGTAGATGGCACATGCAGCATTCTGATAACACCTGACTCAGGCATTGTAAACACAGCTGAACAATGAATTTTTAGAACAATCAAATGTTTTATCTGTATTCTTTCCTTTCTGCCTCAAGCCTTGCTTTTCCATATTTTACTTAAAAGCCGAATTTCAAGCCCAGAATTACTGATCTTCCAAATGCTGGTGCAGAAAGTGTTGGCCTTTTGTGAAAATACAAAATGCCAACCTGCAAGAAATTCAGTAAAGTCACTGAAGAGATGCAATAAACAAGAAATTCTGGAATTCTTTTGTTTGGAGAGAAGCACCTTTATTCCAAAACATTTTTTCTCTATTGATCAGTTAGGGACTATGATCAGTATGGGGGATATTTGATCTGATTCTGCCTGAAATCAAAAGGGAATTTCTTCCCCTTAAGTAAGACTTTCTTTCCCTTAAGTGTGAGACTTCAGCTGTGCTACAGGAAAATTGCCCAAAGCAGCAAATTGAGGTAAATTCTGTGAAATGTCAGAAAATGTTGGAGCTGTTGAACAGTAACAGGGAAGAATCACCTTGCTAAAATCAAGGAATGCTTAAAAAGGTAACAGGGTAAACAGAAAAAGGGGAAACTATGTGGATCTAGCAAGGAATCTCTTGGGAAGCAAGTACTAAAAATAGGATGCTACAGAGCAACAGGAGGAGGTGACTGTAATTATTAAATAAATATTGAGAAGAAATTCACAGAAACCGCCCAAACCAGAAATTCTGCAAATTTAGAGTTGGGGCTCTGGTAGGTTTGACATGAAAGAAATTGTTCTTATGATTTTGGAAAGCAGTCTAAGGAATCTGCTGTATTTCTGGAACACACCTGAGGTGAAAGTCTGGCTCCTTTTCCAGCTCTGCTCCACAATTTATTGCCATGACCAAGGCTGGAAAATCAAGGTCCCTTCCTTGAGATTTCATGTTCCATTACGTGCCACCAGCACCACTCAAAATCCTGATGAGTTAAATCCCATCCATCTCAACTGAATGAAAACAAATTGCTTTTTGACTGAGGGCCTGGTAATTATACAGTTTAATTTATGCACGTGAGGCTTCAGAGGAAGGGGCCTCACAACAAAGGACACCTCGAGCCTGTCCAGGATGCCACCCCTGAATTCCTGCGCTGAAAACTTGGCCACAAAAGGTCAGATATGTGGGATATAAGGTCAGATATATGGCAGAAGATGCAGTGCTGGTTGAGGAAATCTTGGTGCAGGTCCCAGCGAACAGCACAAATCTGACTGGGAGCATCCTCTGCACCACTTGGGCACTCGGGGAGAGGAATGGAAACAGCCCAGAGCACAAAAGAGGAGAGGTTTTTATTCAACCTCTGTTTTCTTGTAGGCTGAATCATGCTTTGGGTTAGGGAAGAGCCTTTTGATGATTGGGATGAGCAGATTTTGGAAGAATTCAGTGGTTTTTATATCTCTTTATTGTGTTTCCTTTCTTGAAGTCTCTTTTACAAAGCCCTCAGTCTTCACCTTCCAATTGGTTGGTTTGAAAATGAGCTTGGTCATTTCAGGGCTGATGACAGCAGGCACCTCTCATGTGACAAAATTCAGATTAAAAGTGTGATGGAAGTGAAAGGAAATCTACCCCTATATCTCCAGAATAAATGCTCCAGAATTCCTGTAATAACATGATGTTTCCTATGGAGATGTATCATGGTTGTTGGTATTAAAAACTGCTCCTCAGTGTTTAATTATTTTATTAAGAGTAGAAAAACTTTAATGCATTTCTTTTACCAGATAATAATCATAATTCAACCACAATTTTTTTCTTCTTTCTATTCTGTCTTAACACAGCACACCAGGTAAAAACCAATGGCTATGCCTATCCCTTTCTATTTTTATCTAGGATACTTCCCTTTCTTTTCTATTTCTGGTTAGAAAATTGTACATAAATGAAGTCTTAAATTTGAACTTTAGAAGATATCAGTGTCTTTTTTCCTCCAAAGGATTATTAAGCTACTTTAATTAGCTGTCTAATTGGAAAGAGATCCTATTTTTTGTGCACTTCTGATAAGTTGTTTTCCCTGGCTGGAACTTATCCCTATCTCTGCATAAGGATATAAGATACAACTGTTGAAAAATAATAATGTGCAGTATAATTATTCTAATTTCCAGCCAAATCATGAAAGAGCAGGTAGTTCAAAGTGCATCTGTATTTAAATAAGACACTCTATCCTCTAACTGCTAAAATATTACAATGATTCTGCTCTTTGCCATTGGATTGTGGAGTTAATTTCTGTGGAGTCAGGAATTAAGTGATTATTGTAGCAATGCCTTGCATGGTTATTGGCCATAAAATCTTACAAATTACAGTGTGGGAGAGTTTTAAACTTTAACATCTCACATTACTTTCATCACATTCAGTAAAATGTTTTATTCTTCCATGATGTTTCATCAGGATGTGTGATTTCATTATCTCCATGTCCCAGACACATCTCGTGAAGGGAATGTTTTAAATCATCCCCATGATGAATTCTTCTCATATTTTCCTTATTCCTTTCAACAGATTTCACAACTGCCACTTCCCAGAGGAAATTCTTGGAAACTGGCAAGGAAGAATATCACAACTTTCTCTGGCAGAAATTGTGAGATGTCCATTTAAGTCCACAGAGCTAAAGCAGGTAGGATTAAATATACTGAAAATATCGTGTATTTTACCACACTCAGAGTAATGCAGATTCTGTGTGATAACAAAAGAATCTGGACTTGAATAACCTTTGTGGGTCCTTTCACACTCAGGATATTCTATGATTTTTATGATACTAAAAAATTCATTTACCAAAGTGAACAAAAGACTGAATAATTTCAGAAGAACTGTGCAATCAAATGGGATTTTATTTTTTAGCATGACAGATCCTTTATTAGAATTCCTCTATTACATGAGAAACTTTTCAAATTCTCCACCACGTCCTTTCATTTTGCACCTTTATGAAATTACTTTTCATTTCTAAGTTAAAAAAAAAGAAATTAAAGGTCAAAAGAAGGTACAAAAAATTGTTGAGGGCTCCTTAAAGATTACCAGGTTTGACAGGGAGTTATCAGCTGGTTAGACAGGAAACAGAGTTTGATGAGACAAAACTGAATTCCCAGAAGGTAATTCTGTCTCCTGGGGTTAGAAGGCAGAATTACCTCTGAGGAGTGTTTCTAACAAAAAAACCACACCAATGGATGGATTGGGGTCAAGGGAGGAGTGATGTGGCATGACTGGAAATAGGGGCCCATTTAATTGAGATGACAGCTGTCCTCCAGTTGCTATTCCTTGAATAAATTATTTGATTTGATTAGTTTTTCTCAGGCTGCAAGATGAGACGAGGCTTTATATTAATTCTGAGAACTCTCATTTATTTGCACTCCGGTGATGACTCCTCTGCCCCAGCTGCAAATGCTTCCAAGTCAATCTGGACATGTTTATTTACCTGAAAAACCTGCTTTTCTGCTGGGTTTTCAGCTTTCCAAAGCAGTAATTATTGTTTTGAGTCTTGCCTTTGTGTCTTTGGCTGCTCAGCTCTGGTTGTTCTTGGTGCTGCTTAAACTTCCAAGCTTATTTGGGATGTGCTGATTTATTAAGTCAGGTTTTAACTGAGTGGACATTTTTACTTCCAGATATCCCTGAGCAAGGTGGGAATGAAATGATGGGAATTTATCAGAGCAGATGAAAATTATTGTTTACTTGCTGGAAAGGTGAAAAGAACCTGGGCTGGTGCTCAGGATTCTCACAAAAGTCAGGAGGATTTGAATAAACACAGACAGCAGGGCAATGTCCTTGGGGTTTATTTCTGTTTCAGATGAATCCTCCTGTTCTGCATTGCCACCTGTGCCACCCCTTGTCTGACAAATTAAAAAGAAGCATCCCAGATATTTTAATAAAAACCACAAAGTGCTGCCAATAATTTAAAGGACAAGGAGGTGCCACAGATTATTGAAATACAGAGTCATGAATAACAACTATCAAATATTTCAGCTTCTGAGGTTGTCAAACAGCAGAATTCATCCCCTTAAAAACAAATCAATAAATGCAAAACCAAGTAAAAGGATATTTAAAAAAACAGTCACCTAGTGTGATTGCTTATTGGAGTAATTTATTATTGGATGTTAAATAATTCTTTATTATCACAAATAATTTAATATATAATATATAATATATAATATATAATATATAATATATAATATATTATATATTATATATTATATATTATATATAATATATTATATATAATATATTATATAGGATATATGATATAGGATATATGATATATCATATAACATATAACATACGTTATATAACACATAATATAAATCTATAATATAGAATACATAAAATATAATATATAGTATATAACATATATAATATACAGCATGTAATATATATTATATATTATATATTATATATTATATATTATATATTATATATTATATATTATATATTATATATTATATATTCTTTTATATTTTATCAAATATATTACTTGCTTTTAGATTCTTCCTCCAATAAACACGTGATAATAAATAATTATAAAGGAGCAAAGAATATATTTGGATGTTCACCCATTGTTATGCTACTGAAAAGCTGAGCAAGAATGGACAGAAAATATCAGCAACAAAACTTTGTTCAGTAGAAACTTTGCTATCAGTTTGCAAAGACACACCACTAATCCTGACTCCTTTATATAATTCTGTTGACAACTTTTATCATATTCCCTTGAAGCACAGAGTGATGTTGACTGAAAGGATTCAGGCGTTTCCATTATTAATTTTGGGCTGGATGTATATGAGCAGTTTAATGTGATAGCTCATAAAAACCCACTAGATACAGAGTTTAAACTTGCCTCATTCCCCTGCAACACTGCTAGAATCTGTTTCAAGTGTCTTTTATTTGGGGAGATAAAACATGTAGTTTTCAATCAATGGAATCCTCTCTAAATGCACAATTGACATCTGCTGTCAGCTGTCATCTGCTTCATAATTAACAATCCAGATGTTTACACAGTTTTATCTAAAGGAAATCGGTTTATTGTTTGATGTTCCAGATGAGAATTATGATTTCTTGACTTCCCTTTCTCATCTTCAGAAGGAAACATGTTCTCCTCTGATGTGGGTGACACTGCTGGTGTGTGCTGAGTGTTCACTGATTTTTGAATTTCCAGAGTTTTGCCTTTTTTTGTCACATTCCTTTCCCAGCTCTTGCTTTGCCTCCTTTTTTGCCCCAGAATTTCAGGCTCTGCTTGGCTCTCCAGACCTTGCACTGATCTGGAGATCTCTCAACAAACCTTAGGTGAGTGTTAACACATTTAACACAAGAGTTAAATGAGATTTACTCTCAAGGTTTGTGTCTCACAGTGAACACCACTTTCTGCATTGCTGAATTATAGCTGAATTATAGCTGAAGAAAATCTATATAGCTTTTTTTATAAAAAAAAACTTTTATAAAAAAATAACTTTTTAAAAAAAGTTATATAGCTGAATTATAGCTGAAAAAAAGCAGAATTTACACTGAATTCACCCGGAAATGGAGTCAGGAAAAACCCTCAGCTACATCTTGTCTGTTGTTTTACCTTTAAATGTCAGCCCTCATCTGCTCCTCTCCCTGTTCCTTTTCCCCTGTTCCAGGCACTCATTCCATTATTTCTCTTTCTGGTAGAATCTTGCCTGGTGGTTTCCTGTTGACATTTGTTTTCTTGGAACAAAGCACATTGATTTTCTGTACTATTTCATCTCTTACCTAAACGTCTGAAAATTGTCAAATTTGCTGTTTGTGGTGACTTTACCACAAGTTTCCAGCTCCCCCTTCCTTAGGGCGAGGCAGGGATGAACATCCCTGTGTGGTTCTCTGCTGGACCCTAAAATCAATATCAGTGATGTGAATTTAGCTAAACTTTGGTTTCATTCCAGTAGGAAAACCCCAAAACCTGTCTGACCCTGAGCAATCCAAAAGGATTTTCTAATTCATCATAACATCCTTTGTCTGTGTTTCCTTTCAGTGGTAGACAATTTAAATGAGTCAAGAAAAAGAAAACCTGTGTTTCTTATTGGCAAAGTGCAGATCTCCATCTAAAAAAAGTGAATTAATTTTTCCTGGATTGCCGAACAACCATTGGCTGCTAAAACAGTATTTGAATTTCACTACAGCAAATAAATATTGATAAAAAGTTAAAGTTCTCCCAAACTTTTCCTGGTGCTTTCTATGAAATTTTGCCCTCAGAAGCACATTGGTTTTGATGTAAATACTTTGATTATTTTCAAAATAGGAACCGGAAATAATTTCTGGTTAAGAAATGTGCCGCAGGTTGTAATTCCTTGATTAAAATCTCTCATTTGGCAACGTGCAAGGTGGTGGATCCTGACTTGAATAGGGTGAGGAGATTTTGCTGTAAAAGGGAACTTGGAGGTGGCAGAAAATGGTGATTGTTGGAGATGGATGTGAAAATGGAGAGTTCAAACCCAAAAGAAAAATTTTACCTTGGGAATTGCTCCTTTGTTGTTTCCCTTCCTCTTTTCTTAGTGGAGGGAGAGCTACGAGGTTTGGAATGGTGATTATGATAAGTGTAGAAAATATTCTGAGTAACATCTATTGTATAAAGGATATTTTTTGACATTATAAACTGGTGAACAAGCTGCATTTTAATGGAAAATATAATTAAAGCTGCATCAAATGTTTGAGGGGTTTTTTTGCTTTTTTTGTTTTGTTTCAGGACTGTCTTTTCTCCTTTTTTCTTGTAAAGGAAGCTGAAATCCCCACTTTATAAAAGAGTTGTGAATAATTTATATAATGAGCTGATGGAAACAAAAATGGAATTTGTAATTCTGATATTTCCCTGCTTTTTCTGCAAGGGGAGGAGAAGAGTTATGTGAAAAAATGAACCGCAAAAAGGACAGCTAATGGGATTCAGTGTAAAACGTGTTTCATGAAAAGTATTAATAGGAGAACAATTTGATTACATAGAAAATCCATCGCTGTTTAATGTTTAGTGCACATTTCCAGGTAAAACCTGATTTTTAGCAGGAATTTGCTGAGGTATTTGGAATTCTCTGCTTCCTACAGCAGGCTTGAAACCCTGTGCCTGCCTGGAAGGCTGACATGGAGCCCTCAGTTAAAAATATCATTACCTCTGCTCAGAGCCTTGTGACTTTCTGCAGGTTTGGGAGCTCTTTATCCTTGCTAATTTTTGTCCCACGTGTGTTTATGTGCAACAATTTATTTTCTACCAAAAAATCTACTTAAACACAACTGACTCTTAGAAAAAA